GTGTCGTCGCAGTCGCCATTCGCCGTCGACAGGCCTCAGCATCATCAACCAAATCCTGCTTTCGTCGCATGGCCGTTTCGTACTGAGCTCGAACCTCGGCCAGTACGGCCTCCTTTTCGTCGAGCAACGCTTGGGCTCGCATCAAATCGGAATTGGCCGCCTGAAGCTTGATCTCTTGTGTCGCCAGGTTGTCCTTCAACGGGATTACTTCCCGGTTGATCCAGTAAAATTTCTCCATAGCACACGTCCATGCCAACAGGCCAGCAACATTGCCACACACCTTCTTGGCCGTCTCCAGATTGTAGTCCTCCATTTCGAGGTATGGACTGATCAGATCCACAGTCTCTTCATTGATGAGATCACGGGGAAAGTTGAGCAGTTGATAGAGAAAATTGGAGGCTGACATCAACTTGAGTGCCTCCGACCAGGAGGGCTTGAAGGCGTTTGCTCGTTCAGGATCGCGACGTACTGAATCCACATGACGCTTGAAGAGAAGCAGAACACAATCCATAATGCGTTGAATCAGATGAGGCGGTTTCGCCAGTTTTCGCACCGTCGAAATGTCCGCCGGTTTGATGGTATTCAGCGCCTCTTCAGCCTCCATCAGAGCCGGTCTGGCCGCCTCCAATTTAGCCTCAGCGGCCATTCGTTCCACTTCAATCGAGTCGACAATCGCCAGGCACCGATCCTTCACCACCTCAACTCGACTCTTCACCTGTTCCGCCGCCTGAGTCTGTTGCATCACCGTCACAAGCACAGCCTCCGCCTCTTGACTGGCCACCTCAAGTTCACGCTCCTTTTGTACCAGTTCCAAGCTCAGTTTGGCGATTGCCTCTTGCGCTTCGATCAACTTCTGTAGGCCTGAGCTAAGCCGGATGATCAACACGTTCACACGATCCACCTGAACGCAAAGAAGTTAATGGATGTGGTAAAAAATATAAAAATCCAACAGTAATAAATGAGTATTCTGATTTATGCAGTCATCGACACATCATCCTTCGTTTTCAAATAAATGTGCTAAGCTTTAATCAGTCAGGCTAGTTGATGGAACTCATCCGAGCTGGGGCGCCTGTAACATGTAAAGTCCAATCTTGCCATGACATATGCGCAAGCAACAAACGATATATATCGAAATGTGATGTTTATGGACCAGGA